ACTTCTCCCCATCCCATCCCATTGCTTCTGCCTCGACAACCTGTTCTCCTTCCTCAGACACATAAATATCCTTAACTTGATCTAACTCCCTTACCTAAACCACCATAATCTTTTCCCTCATCCTCAACCTCTCAACACTATTCTAGATAGTTGACACATAACAACTGTCACCTGACATCCCTCTTTACTATACTTTCCTATAGTGCTATATGACCTTAGATGTCTAGCACATTTATCTTAACCATTAACCATTAACCATTTATAGAGGTCCCACTTTCAAGTTTGAGTCTGAGGTAGCAACTCAGACACAAAAATGGCCCCACTCTACATGAAGCCAAACAGGAAGCACACCGACAAGGTTTCTCTCATACTCCCTACTCTAGTAATGTCACTCGCTCAGCCCCTCCCCCTCCACTATAGCCCCATCACCATCCCCTTTCCCTCCCCGCACTACCTGCAGCAGACAGACTTAACGTTCCACCCCTTCTTCCCCTACCGCACACACCTCCACCTACCTTTTTACCTTTATCCCTCAGACACCAGTCTCCTCTTCCCCCCCGCAGAAAACCTTTTTCTCACAAAACTCTCCAGCCAACTCCACTGCAGAAACTGTGGAAGATATTGCAAGCTATATGCTTGAGGCAAAATTCCACAACTCATGCTCCCTCCACACTCGAAGTGACTGCCGATATATATATATTTCCCTCCTGTTCATATTCCCCCTACACCCCTTCCTCTTACTCCCTCTCAACACAACACACCCCCTTCAACTCCAACTATCCATCCTTCTGATACCCATCCTCCTACTACTAATATTCTCCCCACACCACTTTCTCCTATTCCCTCCCAACACAACCCATCCCCCTCAGCTCCAACAATACGTACATTAACCCTCCCTCCATCCCCTCTATCCTTTCCACTCCCTCCTGGATACACACGTGAATCACTCATGTCACAACAATGCCCTTTCCCAGACCTTCCCACCACCTGATACCCTTCCTGATACTATAACAACCCCCCTCCCTCTAATTCCTTATCATACCCCTTAGCTTCCCCCCCCCACCCCAGATTCCCCAACACGAACCGTATGCGATATCACTCATAAGCTATAGCTATCCTACATTGGAATATTCGCGGTTTCTGTTCTCACAGACCAGACCTTCGTTATATCCTTGCTTCTTATAATCCATCCATTATCTGCCTCCAAGAGACTTTCCTTACACCAATTCCCAATTACCATTTTATCTCTTCCTCACACTCCCTTTATGTCTCGTCTATACTTATCCATCATAAAACACCTGTCATACCTCCCTTACAAACCACTGTCCCGTGCACAGTTATTCGCATCTTTCTTCGCCGCTGGATCACAGTGATTTCAGTCTACTTCCCCCCTTCCCATCTCATCTCATTGCCTGATTTCATCTGCCGCCAGACTCTGGGGTGATGCTATCACCACCTCCCGAGGCCGATCTCTAGAAAAATAACCTAATTATTCTTAATTCAGATCGCAATCCTTTTCCGGCCTTGACCTCTCTCTGTACTCCCCTTCTCTTCATTTAGATTTCCATTGGTCAGTTCTAGACCACTTCCCCTGTAGTGACCACTTCTCAGTAATCCTTTCTCCTACTTCATATGTACCACTTCCTAATCCCCTATGCTGGTGCTTTGATACAGCTGACTGGCATACTTTCACTTCACTCTACTATACCTATCCCTCCACCCCCCTTTCCACCTATTTCAGATATGTTACAATGTTTTACAACCGCGATCCTAAAAGCTGCCTATACAGCCATTCCTCGAACTTCAAGACCTTTTACCTCCAAATGTGTTCCATGGTGGAATTCTGATTGCACCAAAGCGCTTCGCTGAAAACGATCAGCCTGGAACAGCTACAAACGAGGCACCCCTTACCAGCTATCAGCCCTCATCTTTACAAGAGAATCTGCCCATCTTCGCTGTATAATCTGCCAGCTATTCCTCCAAATAGCTGGCAAAATTATGTTTCCTCAATTACATCTACATCTATTTCAGCTGTTTGGCGTTCGGAACCATAAATTATCAGGCAAACATCCCCCCATCCTGACCCGTCTTCCATATTCAAGATACTCTCATCTCTGATCCTATCCAAATAGCTAATGAACTGGGCGACTATTTTATCCAGGTCAGTAGTGGCTCTCACCTTTCCCCACACTTTTCTTCCATTAAGACCATCCAGGAACGCACCCCATCACCTTCACCCTGTACTATGATGAATCCTATAATGCACCTTTTTCTTCTTCTGAACTCAACGCTGCATTACAGTCGTGCCGCAACACTCATGAAGGCTCTGACGGTATTCACTATCGTATGCTCCAACATCTTCCATCTTCCTCTCTTCCCCTCCTTTTAACTATTTTCAACCACATATGGACGTCAGGAAATTTTCCTTCTCATTGGTGAGAAGCTTTTATCCTACCTTAAAACCCAATAAATCAGGTACCCTCCCTCATCGCTCCAACTAGCTGCTTGTGCAAGCTACTAGAATGAATGATTAACTTCCGCTTAATGTGGTATCTTGAATCTCATATTCTCTCTCCTTCCCAGTTTGGTTTCCGCCGTGCCCGAAGTACAGCAGACCCCTTTGCCCATTTCGAGACATATATTACATCTGCATTTGCACGCCACAAATCCATATTAGCCATATTCTTTGACCTGGAAAAAGCATGATACCGCATGGCGGTACCATATTCTCCAACAATTGTCCTCCCTAGGTATATGTGGAAACATGGGTGTCTTCATAAAATCTTTCCTTTCCAAACGTAATTTCCAGGTCAAAATTGCCTCTTCCACATCATCATCCTTTCCTCAGTTCGAAGGCGTCCCAAAAGGAAGTGTGTTTAATACTGTAGGGTGCAATACATGCATTCATAGCATACTGCCCACGTGTGTCCACATCTAGACCACGTGGTCTGCTAGGGTCGCCACTTGCGTACCCCACACTCGCTGCCTGCCCTTGCTTAAGCCACGCTCTTTCTAAATATAGAGGCCACGCCTCTGGCCAGAATAAAAGGGGACCTTGACCTCTCCTCATCCTCACTCACTCTCTGCTCACACCTCGACGAGCCGGCCCATGATCGGGCTGGTCGCTCCAGACCTGAGCCAAGCGCTCCTCCTGCACCGCCAGATACCCTGTTCTTGTGTCGTTATATCTAGTGCTTGTAACTCTTAGAAATAAAGAGAACAGCCACTAAGTGTATCACTGACGCCACCTGTAAATCAACTACACTATAAAGTAGAGGTGTTAATACCTCTTGTAAATACATTGTCATACATTGTCTCAGTCTTACCACCAGGAGCCCGGGCATCACTTTTTGTTGATGAGTTAACCATCTACGTCTCTAGCACATCCATACCAGAACGTCAATTCCTTCAGTCTGCAAAACATCAGTATCTTCTTGGGCCACTAACAATGGTTTTCGCTTCACTACCTCCGTCTTTCTCCATCCTTTTCTTTCACGTATAGATCCCCAACCCCCACTTTTTCTTATATGACGCTCCACTACAATACCCTTCTTCTGGCATATTCCTAGGCGTTATATTTGACTCCATATTGTCCTGGCGAGACCATATTTTGTACATTAAAGAAAAAGCTCAACACCACCTCCGAATCTTGTAAACTCGTTCTCACATATCCTGGGGCTCAGATCGCAAAACTCTCTTCCATCTTCATGTTACCTTGATCCTCTCCACTCTAGATTATGGAGTCATATCTACTCCTCTGCCTCAACCTCCCTTCTTGCTCACCTTGATACAATCCACCACTCCGTTTATCCCTAGGCGCCTTCCGCTTCTCTCCAGTTGAGTGACTGTATATTGAGCCATCCCTCTCTCGACGTCGAGCCCTTTTCGCTCTCCGATGCTATGCTCGATTCCACCAACTTTCCCTTACCAAACTAACTATCCCACAATCCCTGCTTCCTACCTTTACCTCTTATCTATGTTTATCTACTCTTTTCTCCGTACGCATAGATACCCTCCTCTCCCATTCCCCCTTTCCCAACTTCCGACCTCTCCCGTTTTCTGTCCATTCCATTCCTCCATGGCTTATACCTTACCCCCATATTTGCTCCTCTGTTTTCCCTGACCCACCAAAATCAGATATCCCCCTCTATCCTTTTCACTCATTTCCTTAACTATGTCTCCATCCATTCCTCCAGCATTCATGTTTACACTGATGGTTCCAAATCCACCTCAGGAGCGGGATTCGCAGTAACCTTCCCAAATCGCACTTTCAAATACATTCTCCCTCCTGAATCTGCAGAACTGTATGCATTCCTTTTTGCCTTAAAACGCATATACTCACTCCCTTCTTCCTCCTTTACTATTTTTACTGACTCCCATATTTCATTAACCCTTATAAAATCTATGCACTCGACCAATCCCCTTGTCTGTAAGATCCAGAACTGGTTGTTCTACGTGTCGACACCCCATAAATCTGTCAGATTTGCCTGGTTGCCCAGCCCTAGCAATGAACAGGCAGACACTCTAGCACGCTACGTTGCTATGTCCACATCACACCAACCACACTTCTCACATATTCCCACCACAGATTATTACCCCCACTTTAAAACCTTCTTATATATCCGATGGCAATCTTTCTGGTCAAGCCTCCACAATAATAAATTACATACTCTAGAACCATCAATCTTCTTGGTCAGCTCCATTTCACCGGAACAGATGTTCGGAGACGGCCCTCGCACACTTTCGTATTGGCTACACGCCAATCCTAATATCATGCTCTGACCCGCCCCAATGTCCTCTATGTAATGTCCTCTTCCATTTCCACACATTCTGTTGTCCTGTTGTCCACGCTTTACTACAGCCCGCACTTATGCTTTCCCCCACCTATTTTCCCTTCACCGACCTCCCAACATATCGGACATCCTTACAAAATCCCACAGCTTCTGCCTTGACAACCTGTTCTCCTGTGGAGAGGCCTTTAGCGAGGTAATCAAGGCGAATCAACACCGCGGACCTCGCCACGCTTGCCTGCCGGCTGACTCGGCGTAGGGGCAATTATGCAGAGCAAGGTGCGCCGGTGCCAAGTGGGGTGAGGTGAGTATGCCTAGTGAGGCTGCGCCGTTGTCGACTGAGGCAATTAAGCGGAGAGGCAGCGCCGGTGCCGAAGTGATTGTGGCCTCTGCCACAGTGCCTCCCCCTAACGAGGGAGAAAGGACTACAAATCGAGGATCCTGCGAGGGCGAGAATGGCGTCCGGAGCTCGTGTAGGTGACGTCTCCGTGGTCCATGGCATCGATTTATGCTGGCTTTAGGCGCTCTATGGTAACCCAGTCTGTTCGTCCTTTCGAGTTGTAGCTTGAAAGCTCTGGGGGAGCACTGGAGGACCCTGAAAGGACCCTTGTAAGAGCAAGATAGTGGCTGGCGTGGGTGTCGTCACGGAGAAAGACGAACTTGGTCGTATCCAGTCCTGTCGGTTGTGTAGGACGGATGATGCGAGTGACGGGTTGGTCTGCTGGGAGCGAATTGCCGGGCCACCCGGCGGAGGTCCTCTATCTGAGTGTCGCTCGCGCCGTCGTTGGGGAAGAATTCTCTGGGCACGACGAGGGGCTGGCCATATACCATCTCGGCTGCAGAATGGGCAAGATCCTCATTAGGCGTTGTCCTAAACCCAAGAAGCAACCTGAGGAGCTTTGAAGTCCATGTGGCTGTGGTACAACGGGCGGTGAGGGTCGTCTTGAGGGTTCGATGCCATCTCTCGATGATTCCATTAGCCTGTGGATGGTATGCCGTTGTGAAGTGAGAGTGAGGAGCTGTGCTACACAGCCTGAGGTGAAACGAACCCGGGCGATCCAGAAGCCAAGGAGTGCCTGGGTGCAGGATCTGGTAGTTGCATCCTCCATGGGCATGGCCTCAGGCCAGCGAGTAGAGGGTCGATGATGGTGAAGATGTACCTCTTGCCCTCTGACGGTGGAAGAGGTCCAACGACGTCCACGTGGATATGGCCAAAACGTCGGGTGGGTTGGGGCAGGTCGTGGATGGGTGGCTTGGTGTAGCGATGGATTTTGCTACGCTGGCACTGCTTGCAGCTCCTTACCCAATATTGGAGATATCTTATCATGGAGTGCCACACAAACTTCTCCGAAACCAGCTTTTTGGTGCTGCGGATGGGTGGGTGAGCTAGTCCATGGATGAGGTCGATATCCCTCCGAAATGTGGTAGGTACGAGGGGGCTGACGTCGCAGAGGACAGGCGTATCTCCAGTGGTGACTCTACCAGTGAAGGTTGGTAATGGCCGTGATGTAGGCCATGGTCTCGGGGTCTCACTCTTGTTCTGCTGCTAGAGCCTTGTAGTCGACCCCAAGCTTGATGGAGGAGATCTCGATGCGTGAGAGAGAATCGGCGACAAGATTCCGGAAGTGGAGTGAAGGGCTCTGTTTTGATGAGCTGGCGTCTTCTCATATCAACCAGAAGGTTGTGGTGACAGAGGAAATCAGCGTCGGGTAGTGGCCGGGTCACATCAGCGACGAGGAAGCTCCATGAGTAAGGGCGCCTGGCGAGGTGTATGGCGATGTCTCTGGAACCGTAGGTTGATCAATGTTCCGTTGGCGGCGACGAGCTTCTGCAGGTCGTTGGCGGCAGCTCGTCTGTCGGTCTGCGTTGCAGAAAATATGGAGAGAAAGGCTCCGGTATCGACGAGAAAGTGCTTGCCAGATCTCTCGTCTTCAACGTGGAATCCGTAGTAGGTGCAGTTGACTGCGTTGATAGGGGCCGCCTTTCGCGTTTTTTGGATGTCCTCGAGGCTTCCATCTACATCCATCCAGACAACTGTAGGCTGTGCTGCCAAAGCGCTTGTGGTAAGAGCAGATGCCATCTGCTGCAAGGAATGGGGTGAAGGGCCTCCGAATGGTGTTGGACCCTCGGGGAGTTGCTGTGTTGATGTTGGTACTGGTGGGTGCTGTTGATTGTGGGCAGGCTTATCGATGGGCTTCCATCAGTGCGTTGGCTCTGGTGAGGATATCCATGGCCGTCGTGGAGCTTCTCCTTGATATTGCCGGGGAGAGAACGGAGCCAAATTTCCTTTTTAAGATCTACTTCGTGGAACTTACCTTGTTCGTCTTTGGTGGGGAGGTGGCATAGGGTGTTGATTTCTTGCCAGATTTGTTTTGGAGTCTGGTCCCTAAGTGGCGTGTTGGGGATGTTCAGGAGAAAACTCTATCAACATCTCCTGCTTCAGCGTATCGTAGTCGATGTCGTCTGGCTGGCTGTCTAACCAGGGGGCTATCCGGTGAAAAACTTCCTCGGGTAAAACGGCCATGACGTGGTCTGTTTTGGTGGTCGCCTTCACTATATTCTTAAGCCTGAACTGGGTTTTGCCTCGCCGAAACCATGTGAGGGCTTCATTTGGAGAGAAGGATGGAAGGCGGATGGAGGCGGCATTCACTTCAGTGAAAAAGGTAGCTGCGTCGGTACTCATGTCGTTACTTCGGTGTCACCAATGTGGAGAGGCCTTTAGTGAGGTAATCAAGAGCTAAGGTCTTGAGTGGTTGTGGTGAAGCAAACACTAAAGTGCAGAGAAGTCTGTTTTTTCAGCAAGCAATGTGATATATATACAAATGGGGCAAAGTAACACTGCTGGATCGTCTGCGGTTGAGGTGTGCTGATTGGCCGACAGCTGCATTCTTATCTTTCGCGTCGCGGCGAATCAGCGCCGCGGACCTCGCCACGCTTGCCTGCCGCCTGACTCGGCGTAGGGGCAATTATGTAGAGCAAGGTTCGCCGGTGCCAAGTGGGGTGAGGTGACTATGCCTAGTGAGGCTGCGCTGGTGTCCACTGAGGCAATTAAGCGGAGAGAGGTAGCGCCGGTGCCGAAGTGATTGTGGCCTCTGCCACACTCCTTCCTCAGACGCATAAATATCCTTCAGAATCTAATTCCCTTACCTAAACCACCATAACCCTCCCTTACCCATCTTTAACCCTTCAACGTTACTCTAGATAATTGATGAATAGCAACAGTCACTTGCCATAACCCTTTACTATACCTTCCTATAGTGCTATATGACCTTAGATGTCTAGCATATTAATTTCGCTTTTAACAAGCTTATTCTACATCTCTCCGTAATACGACTCCCCTCAACAATACTCCCTCTTTCACACGTCGCCGTCCTTCTACCAACCCCAACTCTATCAATATTTTAAATACTCTATGTAGCCCTACCAAATGGGACCGATTTTTCGTGATCCCCCTGCAGCTCCTTACTCAGACAACACTCATCTCTTTCAACAATGTCTCTAAAAGCAAGTGGGCAGAGTCCCCTTCCGTACTCGACCCGATCATTCCCATCTCATTGGTTACATCTGAGACTGAAGCTATAGCATTGTCAAATCTAACTGATCTTTCTGGCAACCCCATTCCTGCAGAACCTCATCAAACTCTTAATACTTGTACCAGAACTGACTGTATCTCCCCAGCAAGCTGCCCTATGGATATTGATTGGTCAGAGTGTTGAGAGTACTTACTCAACTCCCTCAAAGACAGTGATGTGATATCAGTACAGTGCTAATCCATTCCTCCTAGAGGTCATTGAAAGAAACCCACCAACATTGCCAAAATTACTTTCCGTAGACATGACCTTCCCTGTAATGTTTACATTGATGTACAATCCCTCCCTGTTTAACCATACCAACCTTCTCCCTGTCAATGTCAAAACTGTTGGTGCTTTGGACATCCTGCCAAACACTGCCGTTCCACAGACCGATGTCCCCTATGTGCCCAACCGGTCATAATCGATCAAATTGCTCTGTACAAACACGCACATGAGCTAACTGTGGTGGCCCCCATAATGTATTTTATAGAGGCTGCCCCACCTGCAAGTTTGAGTCTGAGGTAGCAACTCTCAGATATAAACTTGGTCTCACTCTACGTGAAGCCAGACAAGAAGCATGTCAACGAGGTTTCTCTCATACTCCCTACTCCAGTAATGTCGCTCGCTCTGCCCCTCCCCCTCCAACCCAGGATGTTCCTACACCCTCCCTTTCTACCTCAAACCTTCCCCAGTCAAATTCTTTTGCCACTCTAAATCCAGACACTCCAACCTCAACTGCAGCCCCAACACTGTCCCCTCTCCCTCGCACTACCTGCAGCAGACTAAACGTTCCCCCCCTTCTTCTCCTACCAACCATTCACCTCCAGCAACGTTTACCTTTATTCCTCAGACACCAGTCTCCTCTTCCCCTCCTCATAGGAAAGCCTTTGTCTCACAAGACTCTCCAACCAACTCCACTGGAGAAACTATGGAAGATATTGAATGCTATATGCTCGAGACACAAAGTTCCACAACTCATGCTCCCTCCACACTCGAAGTGACTGCCGATTTCCATCCCTCTCCTGCTCATATTCCCCCTACACCCCTACCTCTTATTCCCTCCCAGCACAATCTCTCCCTCTCAACTCCGTCTACTACCGAAATCTATCCTCCTACTCATACTCCCCATACTTCCCTTCCTCCTACTCCTTCCCAACACCACCTATCCCCCCCAACTCTAACTACTGCCGATATCCTTCCTCCTGATACCCATCCTCCTCCTACTTATATTCCCCCTACACCACTTCCTCCTACTCCCTCCCAATACAACCCATCCCCCTCAACTCCAACTGCATGTACATTCTCCCTCCCTCCATGCCCTCTATCATTCCCACTCCTTCACCATAGCCCATTTACACATCAACTTCTTTACCCGTCTTTAACCTTTAAGATTTCTCTAGATGGTTGACACATAGCAAGGTGTCTAGCACATTTATTTTTGCTTTTTAACCATTAATCATTACCATTCATGGAAGCCCTGAGGGGATGGCCCTTTTATCTTCCCCACGTATTCTAGACTTACCATGGCCAGTAATCAAGATTTTGTACCCTTATTAGCGGCATTGCGAATTTTCCCTTTGTCTAGCCTCCCTGAATCTAACGCATTTGGCTTACCGACCCCTAACTTTTCTTTGATCGCGGTTCCGACCACTGATACTACACCTCCCTTGTCGACACTTGTTAACTAAACCCATCCTGAATCATCTACCCAGGTATCTCGATCTCAAAGAGACCCCTCCCTCCCTCAACCCCTATATTCTCGACCCCATCGGCACAATTGTATCCATTTCCTTCCTTATTACAACTCTTCAGCCTTATTGCCCTCCCCATCACAACACTACACTACATACCACTCCTATCTGCAATTCCCACTGCTACAACCCTTTTGAGTACTCGGGCACAGCCAAGTGGGATCGATTTTTTGTGATACCTCCTACAGCCCGATACTCCGACAATACCCTACTTTTCCATCAATGCCTCCAAAATTATAAGGCTGTTTCCATCTCCCTAGCTGATTGCCCTGTCAATGAAAAGGACTGGTTAGACTGTGAAGATCTACTTGCCTGCATTACTGACTATGATGCAATATCAGTACAGTGCTACACTATTCCTCCTAGAGGCCCCTGTTTTTCCCACGTCAGTATTGCCATATTACCTCCCGTAGAGATGAATTTACCCAAGTCTATATCATGCCATGTCAGACCATATCGACCTCCCCCTCCCCCAATCAGAAATGGTGTTTTGCCAAACCTGCAAATCACTTGCTTCACAGCTCGCTGCTTGGTCATGACCGTTCAAATTGCCATGCACAATCATGTACATATGCCAATTAGTGACTCCCGTAATGTATTTTATAGGAGTTGACCTGCCTACATGTTTGAGTTTCAGGTAGAGTTCTCAGACAAACTTGGAAGCCAGGCAGGAAACACGCTGACGGGTTTTTCTATCAACACCACAATGCTATCCATCACTACTCCACTCCCCTCTTCCCTCAACTCCTCACCTACCCACCTCTACTCCCCCTATCTCCCAATCAAATCCTTTTTTCACTCTACATCCGCTGGAACTCAATTATTTCAATTTACTTTTACCATTTTTTTTTTTTTTTTTTTTTTTGTCTAATGCTTTCGAAACTTTACTTTTTCAACTTAAACCACCATTCCTCACACTCGGTGATATCAACTATTACTACCCGAGGTCGCTCCTTAGAACACTCTCTCAAACACTAACCTTATCCTTAATTCAAAACGTCCGACTCACTCTGACATGCGCACCCAAACCTTTTCATAATTTGGGCTTTCTTTTTGCTCCCCTTCCCTTCGCCTAGGCTTCCATTGGTCAGTTCTTGGCCCTTTCCATTATAGTGACCACTTTCCTATTCTTCTTTCTCTTACTTCCAATGTCCCACTCCCTAACCCCCTTCGCTGGTGCTTTGACAGAGGTGA